ACACACACACACACACACACACACACACACACACACACACACACACACACCCTGGGGTGATCACGATTGGGAAGCTGTAGGACAACCACGGCTAACTTCAGTGACTGGAATACAGTGGCGGAAAAATGTGATAATGCTGGGAAATGAAAGAGAGAAAGAAAGAAGAAGGAACAGAGGACGACAGACAGGTGGAAGGAATCGGCTTTGGCGGAGCACTTACGAGAACTAGGAGCCTTGCATCCTTGGGCTCACTGAATCCTCCCAACTCCCTGTCAGGTATTGGCCAAATTTTATAAATGAGGAAGTTTCATAAAAGGGCCAAGAGAGGTGAGGCCCTCGGAACAGAGCATGCCTGAGAACCTGACTCCACTTTTATTTCAGAGAGGACACCATTAGGGTGTCTGGGTGGCTCAGTTGGTTAAGCATCTGCCTTCGGCTCAGGTCATGATCCTGGAGTCCTGGGATCGAGTCCCACATCGGGCTCCCTGCTCAGCGGGGAGTCTGCTTCTTCCTCTGCCCCAGTTGCTCCCCCTGCGTGTGTGCGTGCGCTCTCTCTCTCAAATAAATAAAAATCTTAAAAAAAAAAAAAAAAGGTGAAGACATCCTTTACTCTTCTCATCTTAGCCCAGCTCACCTCTTAGTTTGTACATTTGGGATGAGCTTCTGTAATGAAAATACCCAAGGGCATCCTTGCTTTTAAGTGTATATGAATTTATATGTTAGAGGGAGAGAATCCTAATAATGCTTCAGTTTCAACTAAAAGCTTAAATGAACGTGAAAACATGCCCCTGCCCCCCAGAAACAGTTCACTTAAATAAATTATATACATAAATGAACTGTTTCTTTGCCTGTGGAGGCAACAGTAGGGTGGAAAATGCTTTCAAGCTAGGCAGACGTGTCTCCTGACTCCACCACTAAACCTGTTGTCTTGGGCAAGCCACGTTACTGCTTTGAGTCTCAGTTTCCTGGCCTTTCAAGCAGAGTTAACATGCATTTTGAAGGGCTGCTTTTCTTTTCCTCCTGCCCCTCTTCTCTCCACATGGCCAGTGTCCACATGACCATTTTATTTGTTTAACTTTTTTCCCATTGTTTTTGTCTTACCAAACCCCAATCCAGGATGAAGCCTGCTTTCTGCCTGCCTTCTGCCTTCCTAAAGGCCACTGAGCACTGTGAGAAAGCACTCTCCAACCATAAGGCTTGTGTCATTGTATATTGTCCCCAGCCAGCCTCCCTTACCCTGGTGTGTTGTTGGGTGTGGTCAATGGAAGGCACCAGCAGGAGCCTGGAGGAGAGATGGATGCTATGGGTTCCCTCCTTGCTCAGTTGCTCAAGTTAGCTGATCCATCCACCATGGACCACCATTCCTGCAGGTGGCCCTCTCCCTCCGGCTTTCTCTCTGGGTGTTGGGAGCCTCTCCCTCTCCTTGCTCCTTTGGGCCAGGAGGCAGTCATGGCTCCCTATTGTTGCTAGTCATGGGTTACTGGTTTCTTTTCCTAAACCTTCTTTTTTGTTTAACAAACCCATTATTAAGCTTTGCCTCATTACCCAGTATGGGCGTCCATCTGTTTCCTGACGGGAAGCTAACATGTCAGCTCAATTGCCTGTTTTCTGTAATAACTCCATCAAACCTCCCCAATTCCTGGCCGCATCTTTCCTCTTCTGTTCAGACACAGGACTTACTTATTCTCAGCCACCATCCACCTTAAAGAGAAAATAGAAGCCATTAGAAAGACACCTGCCATCCAGTCATATGTCCAGTGGTGTGCCGTTTCTGGTTCACACCTGGCATGAGAGCTGACTGTGCACGTTTCTGCCCTGCTCTCTGTTCACTGACGTCACATCAGTAGCTTGCAGGTGACCACAGCAGAAGGATTTACACTAGAGAAATTGGCAGATGCTACAAAGTAGGGCTTTTTTTTTTTTTTTTTTGTAGAGCCACTTGTTAACCTTTATCAGTATATCACTGCTTATATCCAGATGCAAACTTTTTCTCCTTCACATTTATTGTAATGGAAGAGATTCCTGTTATCCTCTGGCAGCCCACTCCACCCATTATCCACTCGTGGTCCTGTCTATTTGCTAGCTCCTTCTCAGCAGCATGGAAATGTGCTCTAGACCCGTCCTGTCCAATACAGCAGCCACTCGTCGAATGTCGTTACTGAGCACTTGAAATGTGGCTAGTGCAGTTTGAAATGTGCAAAATATACACCCGATTTCAGAGTCACTGTGAATAAAAGAACATCAAATGTCTACTAATTGTGTTGATTACTTGCGAAATGATAATATTTGGGGTATAATAAGTTAAATAAAAGGTAATAAAATTACTCATTTCTTTTCACTTTTTAAAATGACTCCTAGAAACTTTAAAATTACCTAACTCACATTATTTCTGTTGGACAGTGCTACTACACACACTCTGATCTTAAACATAAAATCCTCCCTTCTACCTGGCAGCCCGCTCCGATTCTTATCGTCCCACCATCAAAAATGTTTTAAAAGAGGCGCGCCCGGGTGGCTCAGATGGTTGAACGTCTG